CAGGTAAACCAAAATGGCTGGTCTGCGCTGCACTACGCTGCTACCGGCGGCAATGTGCAGATAATACAATTGCTGCTAAAAAAATCGGCCTCTATCAATGCCTTGTCGCCAAATGGCACAACCCCATTAATGATGGCAGCTGGCTATGGTGGTCCCGATTCTGTAGCGCTTTTACTCCAAGCCAAAGCAGATACCAACTTAAAAAATGAAGCAGGTTTAACCGCGCTAGACTTTGCCCGCCGAGCCAATAACGACAAAGGTGTGCAGATGTTGGAAAAGACCACATCACAGTAAAATTAAAAAAACATTTTGTTGATGCAATTGCACGGTATAGATACAGATGAAGGCTGGATGCGGGTTGCACTCCAGCAAGCCAAGCTAGGGTTAGAGCAAGCAGAAGTGCCCGTAGGTGCAGTTGTTGTGTATGAAAACAGGCTTATAGCCAGCGCTTACAACAGCCCAATTACGAACCACGACCCTTGTGCGCATGCTGAAATTTCCGCATTGCGTGCTGCGGCCAATGCACTTGGCAACTACCGCTTACCCCATTGCACACTTTATGTGACGCTAGAGCCTTGTGTCATGTGTGTAGGTGCAGTGGTGCAAGCCCGCATACAAAGGCTAGTATTTGGGGCATATGAACCCAAAACTGGTGCAGTGAATAGTTTGTTTACCTTGCTGGACAATCCACTCTTTAATCACCACACACGAGCAGTCGGCGGCGTTTTGCAAGAAGAGAGTAAAGCATTGTTGCAACAATTTTTTAAACAACAGCGCAGTAAGCACAAAACAGTTAAAAAAAATCAGACACCAAGCACCTAAACCCCTTTGCGGCAATATGCCAATTGCGGAAGTAAAGCATCGTCGCACACTTTGTGAGAGCCATACTTTTACCGACCGCCGCCCATAGATGGCAGTAAAACGCGGTAAACACTGATCATTGCTGGCCCCATAAGTACTACCATGAGTGAGGGGAAAATAAAAAAAATCAAGGGAAAAAGCAATTTAAGTGGAATTTTTGCTGCTCTCTCCTCAGCTCTTAAACGCCGGTGGGTGCGCATGGTGTCGGCTTGCACACGCAAAGCTTCAGCAATATTAGTGCCAAAGCGGTCGGCCTGTACCAGCATAGTGACGAAAGCGGCCACATTTTCTACCCCTGTGCGTATGGCCAAATTGCGCAAGGCGGCATCTCTTCGAACACCCATGCGCAGCTCTAGGGTCAGCAAACCCAACTCATCT